AAGTGCTTCAACTGTCTTCGGTTTAAGTGAGCTACGAAATGAATCAAGAACTCTACCACCAACACTAAATGTAGCTTCAGAAGCAACTGTAGAAACAGGGACAACCAATATATCACAAGCCATAGAAGCTAGTGCTGGATATCGAAATTGGTTTGATTTCTAAAAAGAAAGGATATAAAGCTCCGCGGTCCTAGCCAATCTTGGCTCAACCAAATAAAGGTCAAGCTCTGATTTCTGTGATGCGGTAGTAGACTCAACTGAAGACATCTCATCAAATTCCTACAAAATGAGAAGGAGATAGTATAAGAATACACAATCAGACATAAGCATAGAACATCCGCATTACTAATAAATAGAGAAATTACCTTGAATATAACATCCACATCATCATTTCCTTCTTTTTCCATCATAAAAGATTCAAAAGCATTGGTCTTTTGGCTAGTTGAATCCTTCTTTTTTTCTTGTACTTGTCAAAAATAGAGTACAACTTACTTCTCATTGATATGCATTCAAGACAATCATCTCCATAAAGCTTTTTGTAACTGAACTCAACAAGCCCAAGCTTAAAACGATGATCTAGAACACATGCTATAGCCAAAGTAAGGTGGAATTGAAACCAATACTTTTGAAACTTGCCCCACATTGCTGTTGCCATATACTTTAAGTACTTATCATCACCTTCTGAATATTGTTTCAACAAGAAGCAACAATGCCAAATGGAAGGGAAGTACAAGTTGGTAGTGGGATACTTTGTTCCAGAAAATTTAAGAGTTACATTATAGAACAACTTCAAAAAAATTTTAATCTTTTCAACTTTGTCCTACTCGGCACTAGAAGGACAGTGCTTGTAGTTTGAATCACTCAACTCTAAATGTTGAAATACACGGCGATAGTAAAGAGCACTTTCAAGCATAAGATATGTCGAGTTCCACCTAGTTGGTACATCTTGACACAACCCTTTCTTATCACCAATTGCAACTAACTTCACACAATCTAAGAACTTTTGCTTCCTCACTTGGGATCCCTTGACATATTTGACACTATCACGGATCTTAACAATTGAATCATCAATCTGCTTCAAACCCTCTTACACAACTAAATTTAGTATGTGTGCACAACATCGCACGTGAAATAGATCGCCATTATGTACAAGAACCCCTTTCACAACTAGTTGCTCTCTTAACATGTCAACAGAAACACCATTCGCAGAAGCATTATCCAATGTCACACTAAACACCTTGTTCTCAATTCCCCAGTTACTCAAAAAAGCATAAAGCTTTTCAGACAAAGCAACACCACTATGTGGAGGTGGCATAAAACTAAAGTTTAACACTCTTTTCTGCAAGTTCCAATTCTTATCTATGAAATGCACAGTGAGACAAACATATCCATCACTAGTCAAAGAACTCCATGCATCAGAAGTAAAGCTAATTCTACCTGGGGTAGTCTCTAACATCAATTTAATTCGAAGCTTTTCCTTCTTGTAAAACTTTAAAGCGTTAGCCTTTGCAGTATTTCTAGAGACCAATTGAATTTGAGGGTGCAAGTACTGAAATATAGACCTTATTCCTGCATATTCAACAAAACTAAAAGGTAGACCATGCATGATTATAGCTGCTACAACCAACTCATGAAATTTTTCGGGATCATACTTACCTCCACCAAGTGTCACTACACCAGCTTCTTGGGCAATAAGCATTTGCCCTATATCATGGTAGGAGGTTTTCAGACAATTCACAAGATGCGTTTCAGATTATCAATTCCGTACTTGTTGTCCACGAGGTACACAGAGTTACAATGTTTGCACTTGACCTTCAATTTCTTGTCCGGACCCAAAGGAAGATGAACAAAGTGACTCCAAACTTTTGAGGTCAGCTTCCTTTTTCTTTTCTGGAGTTTAGCGCCTTGAGTTTCGGTATTAAAACTCGATCTATCAATCTTTTCAACCTCAACATCCACACTTTGAGACTCAATTGACTCAAGATTAATTGCTATTGTGTTAAATTAATCTACACAAAGCAACATTAATGCATATCAATGAAGGAAAAAGAAACAAACGCAACATTAATCCAAAAGGATCTAGAACACATGCTATTAATGTTAAAACGAGAATTTCAGTTCCTTTTGGTTTTCCAATGTAAGCAACATTAATACAACATTAATGTAAGCAACATTAACACAACATTAATCTGTACCATACACACACACACAACAAAGCACAGGAGGACATTACAAGAAAATAGAAAATATTCGGTTCTAACATGTGCCAATAACTCGAAGCACATGAGGACATTATCTGCGATCAATGTTAGAAGCCTGATTTCTATAAATGCTTTTACCATTTCAGATCATATAATACCAATTAGAAAAGATCACAGATTCGGTCTTAGATCATATAATACCAATTAAAAAAGAATTTACCATTTCAGCATTAATACAGCAAATGCTTCATCATCAGGACTACGATCACGTTTTCAAGAATGCTTCAAATAACCACAAATATCCATAACACATCACAACAAAGCGGGTTTCAAGAACAACAACAATGAGGAGTACATAAATTCATCAAGGATGATACAGATCAAGCAAAAACAACTGTTTCCGAAGAAGAAATTCATCAAGGATGGTACAGATCAAGCAAAAACAAATTCATCAAGGATGTTCCCCTTTCCCCTGCCTCCCCAAGGTCGAATCAAAGTATGTACAGAAACAAGAAATAAAAATGGAGGCGAAATACTTGTTTCGGTTTCTGAAGAAGAACAAGCAAAAACAACTATTCTGATTTTTGAATCCGAAATACCTAAAATCCAAGACGAGAAAAGAAAAGTTATGGAAAAGAAAAAAAAGTAAGTAAACTGAACGAATGGGGAAGAAATGAACGAACGGGGATGGGTTTTACTGTGACCCTGTTTGCTTGCAGCGGAGAAACAAGCGGCGAGTGGAGAGGAACGGTGGTGAGTGGAGAGGAACAGTGGCGAGTGGAGAGAAAAGAAGAAAAAGAGAAAGAAGAAGAAATGAGAAGCGGCAGTGGTCTAGTGGACTGAGATCAGGCGGTGGTCCAAGGAACAGGACTGAGAAGCGGCGGAGAGGAGAGTTGATAGAGAGTGGAGAAGAGAAGAAGGGTTTTGCTGCCTCTCCTTCGAATGTGGGTGGCTGGGGAGATAAAAATTAGGCTAGGGTTAGAAGATGAATAATATATTAATATTGAAACATTTTTATTTTTTAACTTAGGTAATAAACGGGTTGTATAATCGTGTTATCAAAATATGACACGTTTAATAAACGGGTTATCGCATGTCAATTCTGGGTTGGCGGGTCAACCTGAAAATGATACGTTATTTAATCGTGTTACACGGGTTCGACCTGATTTTGACCCGAACCTATTTATGATAAATCTAAACCCACTAATTTCGTGCGAGTTTCGAGTCGTGTCACTACCCAGATTGTCAGCCCTAATATAAACCTTCATGTTGATCACCCCTGCCAATCATCTTCCTGTTGTGTTGATCCTGAATTATGAAGTGATCAAGAAAGAAACTAACGGTGAGCAGAGAATCAATAGCAAGAGCACTAACAGAAAGCAGATTGAAGTGGAACTGAGGAACAAATAACACGTTTCTGAGAATCAAATAAGATGCTAACTGTACATCCCCTGATAAGCAAACAAATATTTTGACGTTGTTGGGCAAAGTGACAGTGGAACTCATCATAGGTTTCATAAAAAGGAACATGTTGGTATTGGAACAGATATTTCGTGACGCACCATAATCAACAATCCACCACTGCGTAGAAGAAAAAGCAGAGTTAATCGAAACAGAAGATCAAATACCTGTTGTGTAGGATGTAGAAGGGGTCTCTTTTGGATCATTGGTCTGGACAGATGAAATCAGATGATTGGAAAGAATTGACATCAGTTGTTGATATCTTAAGAAAACCTTCAACACTGCCATCGGCTTGACTCATTTTGTCATCAGAAACAACCTGATCAGAGACTTGATTAATAGCCACATTTTGTGATTTCTGTTTCGGCTTATATCCAGGAGGGTAACCGTGACGTTTGTAACATTTCTCGATCGTGTGGCCATGAAAATTACGGTGAGTGCAAAATGGACGTTCTTTCTTCTGACCTTTTTTTTTGCTGAAGGCTGAGCAGTAGAACCAGGTAGGTTGGAACCATTATTTCGAACAAGAAAGGCCAGTCCATTTGTAGGATCAACTCCCCCTAAAACATGATGAGGAGAAGAAACATTCACGCCCATCAAAAATGACCTACACCATTTTTCCTTTCCTTAAAGAAACTACGCACCAAAGGAAAATCTCTCTTCATAATAATTTCTGTATAACTGTGAACAATTTTTAAGTAAATATTTGAATTTACACCCGAATAAAATTTAACTCAATTTTCTTGGAATTTACCAAAACTTCATGAAGCCAGATTTTTCCTCTCTTTCTTTACTAATTTTTAAGTCCATAATTCAGTCTAAGAATCTAATATACGCGTTTGATTGTGTCTTTTCTAAAATAAGTAATACATTAATTACCTTTTTTCCCCCCTTCTTTTAGAATCATGTTGGAGATCTCTCTCAATTTCTCTCTGTCTTTATCTTATACAACCTGCCACTATATTTTTCCTTCTTTTTTTTTTTCTTTTTTCTTTTAAAATTTTTGTTTCCTCTACATGAGAGGGAAGGACTTTTTGTCTCCCTCTCCTCTCGACAAGTTCTCATTTAAAAACTTTTCTTCCTTTTTTGTTGTCGACTTTGTTCCTAAATCAAACCCACTTGGCTCATCACAACGCCCAATCATATATACTATATATATATATATATTTTGAAAGTTATATATATATATGTATATAATTATCTCATCATAACCTTTTCTTCTTATAATCCAAAAAAAAAAAAAAATCAGAGTCTTGTCTATAAGAACCTAGAAAACAACCATTTCGTTCTTCCCCCTCTATCAACTCCGTATGAACTCCCTCCTCATGAAATGAGGTAAAAAAAAAAAAAAATCTTTGTTTTCTTATTATTGTTTCTTTCCAAAATTTCTCCTTTGTTCTTCTCTCATTAGAAATTATTTTCCGTCATGATTACCGGTAAGGACATCTACGACGTCTTAGCGGCCATAGTGCCGCTATACGTTGCGATGATCTTAGCCTACGGTTCGGTCCGGTGGTGGAAGATCTTCACCCCGGACCAATGCTCCGGCATTAACCGTTTCGTTGCGGTCTTCGCCGTCCCTCTTCTCTCCTTCCATTTTATCTCCTCCAACAACCCTTACGCGATGAATTACCACTTCATCGCGGCCGATTCGCTGCAAAAAGTGGTCATTCTCGTCGCTTTGTTCCTTTGGAACACGTTCACAAAGCGCGGAAACCTAGAGTGGACAATCACCCTCTTTTCTCTCTCCACCCTCCCAAACACCCTCGTCATGGGAATCCCTCTCCTTAAGGCCATGTATGGCGATTTTTCGGGCACTCTAATGGTCCAAATCGTCGTCCTACAAAGCGTCATTTGGTACACTCTCATGCTCTTCATGTTCGAATACCGCGGCGCCAAGCTCCTCATCTCGGAGCAGTTCCCGGAGACGGCGGGGTCGATAACCTCGTTCCGAGTGGACTCTGACGTCGTCTCTCTGAACGGGAGGGATCCGCTCCAGACCGAAGCGGAGATCGGCGACGACGGGAAGCTCCACGTGGTGGTGAGGCGGTCGGCGTCGTCGTCGGTGGTGTCATCCTTCAACAAGTCGCAACTAGGGTTTAGCTCGATGACCCCTAGGGCATCGAATCTCACCGGAGTCGAGATCTACTCGGTGCAATCCTCCCGGGAGCCGACGCCGAGGGCGTCGAGCTTCAACCAGACTGACTTCTACGCCATGTTCGCCGGAAGCAAGGCGCCGAGCCCTAAGCACGGCTACACCAACAGCGTCCAGGGCGGTTTCGGCGACGTCTACTCGCTGCAGTCGTCGAAAGGGGCGACGCCGAGGACGTCGAATTTCGAAGAGGAGGTGATGATGAAGATGCAAGGGAAGAAGAGGGGAGGGCGGAGCATGAGTGGCGAGCTCTTTAACGGCGGTTTGGCGCCGTCGTACCCGCCTCCGAATCCGATGTTTTCGGGTTCAAGCACAAGTGGAGGACACAAGAAGAAAGAGAGTAATAGTAGTGTTGGCAATGTTACTGTTAATGGCGGTGGTTCTGGGGCTAATAAGGAGCTTCATATGTTTGTTTGGAGTTCAAGTGCTTCTCCGGTTTCAGAAGGAAATCTTAGACACGCAGTTAACAGAGCTGCTAATTCCACCGATGTTGGGGCTATTGATCCTTCCAAATTACAACATGAAAAAGGTAATTAAGAAACTTAATTATCACTTATCAGATTTGTTTATTTTATATAATTAGAAATTTTAGTGCTAAACTAATACATAAGTAGTTTTGTATGATATTTACGTGGATTCCATTTTAAAATTTGTGTTAGGGAATTAATATATAAACTTTAGAGATTTTTATGTGTAACTTGTAAGCAAGTGAAAAAAATTGGTTAAAAAAAACTAATAATACGAAAATGATTGCTTTTCATTTTAATGATATTTATCCATATAATAGTTTAACCATATTCTATTATATTTTACGGAATATTTATTCACTGATTATAATGAATATTACTAAATTTAATTAGTTAGCTAGATATAAAGTATTTTATGAAGACTGCATGTGTAGCTTTCCGTGTAGCAATTTAATTGGTGAGTTTTAGACGCTATTGCATGTGAAAAATACCAGTGGTCAAACTGTACATTTGTCTCTTTTTTTACTTTTTTTTATATGAGTGTACATTTGTCTCCTTTTATTATTATTATTATTATTATTATTATTATTATTATTATTATTATTATTATTATTATTTATATGAGTGTAGATTTGTCTGTATTTTAGCGATCATTTGCATGAAATCTGACATATACATGGATACATGCATGTCCTAACTTTTTTGTCATATTAATTGGTCATAGAAGTTCTCACTAACCATGTTCTTAATAAAAGATTTAAATTAATCTTAGATAATTTACTACAAATGGTTATTTTAGTGATAAAAATGTCTCTCTTTCTTTTTTTCTTTTTTTTTTTTCTGAGAATGTGCCTAATGTTCGATACTTTAAAGTCTTATTTTAGAATCTTTGCCTGATCAAATATGTTGTGCAACATTGTTGTGTGGCGGTGTGAGTGAAAATTGAACCCATTTTTCTAATAAAATTGGGTTAGATTATTTCCGTTCTATTAAAAAGTCTTGAAATTCAAAAATAATAAATGGGATTAAAGGCGGGATAACAAAATGATCTCTTTTTTCATGAGAAATAAAAATCTTAGAAATGTAATTTCTTTTTTTTTTTTTTTTCTAAATTGTTATTGTGATCATCCTGAACATTCACAGGCATGCAAGAGTTCAATGAGAATATGAGCCCTGCAGGGAAGATGGTTGGATCAGATCAAAGGGATCATCTGACGGACACAGATCATCATCAAGAAGGATCAAACAATAGTAATATCAATAATAGTAAGTTCCCAATGGGATCTTCACCTTACACGTGCCAAAAGAAGGTTGACGTGGCAGAAGGAGAAATAGGGCAAAAGAAGCAACAAATGCCACCTGCAAGTGTCATGACAAGACTCATACTTATTATGGTTTGGAGAAAGCTAATAAGAAATCCCAACACTTACTCAAGTCTCTTTGGCCTAGCTTGGTCCCTCATCTCATTCAAGTAATTAATAATTATTTTTTATTTTTATTTTTTGGAATATATTTCGGGAATTCTAAATGTTAGATTAGATCAAAATCTCGTTAAAAAATTTAAAAAAATGTAAAATTGATGAAATCTAATAGAAAATTAACGGTTCAAAACATAATTTTATTAACGAGGTATTTTTAATCCCTATCGTAGAATTCTCTATTAAATAATTACCCGATATTAATATCTAGTTTTTCTCTCTCACTACTTCATAGATCTCTTAATCATTAAACATTTACAACAATTGATTAAATCCTAATAACTAGTTTATCTTTGCATAATTATGTTGGCAGGTGGGACATCAAGATGCCCACAATTGTAAGTGGATCTATTTCAATATTGTCTGATGCTGGTCTTGGAATGGCTATGTTCAGTTTAGGTACATATACATGATCCTTATTATTATATAGATATATATATATACATGTTTTATTGAATTTGAAGTCAACCCAAATGAAATTAATTTAATTATTGGGCACTATATTTTTCTGATTATTAATAATATATATGTATTTATATATATATATATATATATATAATTTGGTGCAGGTTTGTTCATGGCATTACAACCAAAGATCATAGCATGTGGAAAATCCGTGGCGACATTTTCAATGGCTGTTAGGTTCTTGACAGGCCCGGCAGTCATTGCAGCAACCTCTATTGTCATTGGTCTTCGTGGAGTTCTTTTGCATGTTGCCATTGTTCAGGTTAATTAATTCAAATTCACTTTGCTAATTATTATTAATATTTCTTTTAATTAATTAAAATATTCCATAATATTCTTGCATGAGATGACTTTGTTTTTTGGCCTTATTAGACGGTGGAAGAAAAATAGTTGTAGCTTTTGTTCAACTTTTGACTTATCATCTCCAAAAGCCAAACCTTTTTCTCACCGTCACCTAAAACACTAAAATCTAAAGTAACTTTTCGAAAGACATTCTAAACGATAAACATGACTTAGTTGGATGTCAGACGGTTTTAAAAAATTATGTAATTGATAAAAAAATATATATAATAAATTAATAAAATTAAATTCTCATCACCTTATATTATTAAATTTTTATATTCGATAAGTAACTGACGAAAAAAACTTAACGTGTATTTAAAAAAAAAATTCACGTTATAATTTAAATTATGATTCATAATTTATTATAATATTTTTTCTTATAAAAAATATTCATAAAATAAAAATAATTTTAAATTATAATTTTAAATTTATGAACCCAAACTTTTACTAAACATTCGTTCATATATATACATATTCAATACGGTTGTGTTGAACAACATTGCTGGTACATGCATATCTTTCAACAGTAAAGCATCGTTCCTCAATATTTGAACCAATAATTATTTCTCTTTCTACTGTATAGTCCAAACTACTGACTTGCCAAGTACTATAAATTTCCTTCCGTCCTTTTCAAATCTCAATGGAATCAGTCAAACAAAAAAAATTCAGATTTTGACACTTTTTATATAGAAGTTTGAGAAGTAAATCAATCACTAAAATCAGTATAATTTATATGGAATTTCTCTAGTAATTTTTCTTTTTTAAGAATATTAGTATATTTTATTTATTAATTGTTAGATTTGTATTACTTTTTTAATATGATTTAATCTTTGATCATATTTAATATAAATTTGATGACTGATTAACATATAACACTAATATTATTAAAAAAGATAAAACATGAGAGAAATCTCTAATTTATAAGAAATTTAATTATTATGATCATCTGCATGCAGGCTGCTCTTCCACAAGGAATCGTTCCGTTTGTATTTGCAAAGGAATACAATGTCCATCCAGACATACTTAGCACTGCGTAAGTTCTACTAAAAATATTGAAGTAAACATAAGAACCAAATAAAGAATTTTTGGTAAAATTTTCTTAAGAAAAACTTTTCTCAGATGGTATGATTTCATATTATTAGATTTTCATTAAATTTTATTAAGTGTACAATGTTTTATGGGTTTTTTTTTTTTTGGATAAAGGGTTCAAATCCTTTTGATTACCATATCTTACATCAAAAACTTTGAAAAGATTTAAGTTTAAAATCAAAAAAATTTATTTCTACCTAAATATACTATCGATAATTCTAATAAAAGTATAATGTGATTTGACGTTCAAAACACACAATTTTAAATGATTGGTGTTATACGTCTCGACGTGATCCACCTGTTGTGAGTGGTGGGGTTGTGAAAAAGGTTTTTTAGTTTGAATACAAGATTTTCGTAGTTGAAGTTTCAAAAGAAATGAAAATAAGGGAGTTTTTTTGATTGTTTCTGAAAAAATAAATTATCAATAGTCTTTTATTTATCAACCGTTTAATTTGTATTAAAATTTATTTATTTAGTATATTTTTTTAATCTTGCGTGATTTTGATAATATCTAACCTTACTAGAAAAGGTCCTTGAAAACAATTATTAATATTAAATTAGAAGAGAATCTCACATTCTAATTAATACATTTTTGTTGCAATGATTTTGATGCAGGGTCATTTTCGGAATGCTAGTCGCCTTGCCCATAACAATACTCTACTATGTGCTTTTTGGGCTGTAGTACTTCTTTCTGGGAAATCGTAGTGAAACATATAAAAACTGTATATCCAAGTCAGTCTTAGTTGGATGTATTAAAAAAGGAAAAAAAAAAAAAAAATGTTCTCAATGAAAAGAACCAAAATAATATAAGCCTTTGGATTCAGTGCCATCAAGCAAATTATATGGCCTTGAGCATGTGACCCTTTTAGGGATCTCCATATACTATCTTCTTTAGATATCTTAGTTCATAAGTTGTATTAGTATTAAGTTTTTTTTTTTAATTTTTTTTTAATTTTTTTTTTCTATTTACCAGTTAGAAATATTATTAGAATAGACCCCAGATAAATTCAATGAATGTACGGTCCAATTTTTATATGTATTTTTTTTTTTTGCTGCAATTTTTATATGTATTTGTTACACCAAAATCAATGTAGTTCTTTTTACTTAATTTTGACTCCAAAGCCATTTGGTATTTATCCTAATTAACTTGATTGTTACATGTGGATGCGGCCTCGTTCATTTCACCGATTCAAGTTTTCAGTTTTAGATTTTTAGAGTAAAAAGCACTCAGAAAATGTCACATCTAACTTTTTCTGCTACAGTGAAAAGCTCTCAAAAAATGTCACATCTCAACTCGAATTAAAAACTCGAATCTGCGAAGTGAACGAGGTCTTTGTATTCATATTTGTTGGGATTTGGGAAGAAGATTTTAAGCTTATTTCTTTGAAGCTTGTGAAATATATCATTGACTTGTATGGCTAAAGATTCTACGCAGAATTTTGACCTATATACAGCATACACACTGTATTTTCATGAACGGAGCTAGATGGTATTACATTTTCCATTCTTTTAAAAGTCAGCATGTTTTCTTATTAAATTTGACCCCCATAAAAATTGAGAGAAATTATTTTATTCCCCTCAAATCTACATATACTTTAATTATCCCCCACAAAAGTTGAGGAGAACCATTTTAATCCCAACCCATATCTACATTAATAAATTAACATATGATCCGATAAAAAGATTAAATAAATCAATTATGCGAAAAAAAAACAATTGAGCCCAGCCGACAACAAATTCTAGCTCCCTAATTTACACCTTTTTACAACTAGCAAAAAGGGAGAGAGTAATATTTGTGTCCTATTTTCTACTTCCTTTTCTTTTGAGTGGAGAAAAACAAAAGGAATATTGCAATTCAAAATCGTTTAAGGGCTATAAAAGCTTGTAGAACCGTCTCTTCTGTCTCCTTTTCTTGTTTCTATTCATTATCACTCCAATAATATCATGCCACGTGAATTATAAATATTACTTTAATTAAAGTTTTGTATCACATTAATTAAAATATTATAGTGATTAAAATATTTTAATTGATGTGATATAATTTTACCGAAGAGAGACGAAAGAGGATACAAATAAAGAGACATATGAGTTCAATTCCTTGAGGAATCAAAAAGTTTGAGAACAAATTGCATACGTGATCCATTTTTACACATTATGGTGTGTATAAAGTTTGTCGTTTTGTATTTTCTTTGTATATATGTATACCTACATTGTTTGTATATGAAATTAACTGAAGTTGGTTATTGGCCTCACCGGCTAACCGAGTCGGCTGTGAAGGACATCCGGGTTAATTTCATAGTCAAAACCAACCAAACCACAATATTCTTTGCATTCAATATTTTTTATTTTCATCTCGTTATTTACCATCAATACATGTGAGTGGATTCATATTTGACTGTCAACACTTCTTAAGATGTAAATCAAAATGGGAAAGGCATGAGAAAGTACTCTATCTTCTTTTTTTAGAAGACAATGTTAGAGTACTATCTAATAAAAGGAACATCATGACAAACTTTTCATAAAAACAATTCAAATCTCGGCTAAAACTTTTTTATTACAATATTTTCTTTCACTAAAATTTAAATTTAACTTTTCTATTATATTATTTTTGGTAAAGTCTCCAATCCAGTATTAGATTAAAGCAGCACATATATATTTAAAAAAAAAACATGTATATTTTCTCTTCGGTACATGTGTATATCCTTTAAAAATATGTATATATATGTTTAGACAAATTATAAGTGTCTCTTCACATTATACATATTTTAAAAAGAAATATACATATACCGAAAATAAAATATACATGTTTTTAAAAAAAATATACATGTGCCGCTCTAATTAGATTGAAGACAATTTCCTATTTTTTTCTCAAATATAAAATTCAATGTAAGAGTACTGTCAAATAAAGGGCACATCATGACAAGCAGTTCTTAAAAACGATTTAAATCACAGCACAGACTTTTTTATTATAATATTTTTTGATTAAAATTAAAATTTAATTTTATTATTTTAATATTTTTTGTTCACCGTACAATTACTTAAGTGCTGAACTTGAAAATCCAAAATCATTGTGCAAATGTTGCTGTATATACTTAAAAGGCTTGTACCATGTGATGCAAGGGAAAAAGTTAAAACTTGCTAGTGTCAATTATTTATTTCCGCTCCTTTTCAGATATTGGTACTTGACAGAATTTGACGTTAGTTTATATATTTGTCCATTTTATCTACAATCAGACAAAATGTACTTTGTATGGTAGCCCTGCCCTTCTGTTAATCATCTGCATCCATGTTTTGGGAGGTATTAAATACGTTTGAGACATTCACACACACATATATACATTTAAATATATTATGGCATTGTTCATTTTGACCGATTTAAATTTTTAATTTTAAATTTTTACAGTTAAAAATTTTTAAAAAATATCACATTTAATTTTTTCTGTTACAGTTAAAAGCTCTTAGAAAATGTCACATCTCAGTTTGAATTAAAAACTTAAATTCGCGAAGCAAACGAGACATATATATGTATGCTTATGTATCATTCATTCTTCCTTAATTAGGAAAACCCCCTCCCAAAAGGACATATTTATAATGTGCAATTGATAAGAAAGATGCGATAAAAAAAATTTTAACTTAAAACTTTACTCAAAAATCCATCTCAAACACTCTTAACAAATTTCTTACGAATTCGTAGGCGCACACCTAACAAATAAGCTCATACACTTTTTTAAGGCCGAAATAATAAATAATATAAACTACTTTGAGTTTAAATATGCTCCTCCATCAATAATAAAATTTATACACAATCGAATTATAATTAACTATATATTGAGTCTTTACAAGAGCAAGGTCATTCGCCAGCTCAAACCGATAATAATGGCGTCTTACAATATTTGAAAGATATTATAATTACATGGTCCTCATTTTGAAACGTGTGTGACTGATCAAAAGTTTTCTTATACATTATTAATTGCACAATATTCCCCAGCAGAAATTAGAGGTTCCTATTTTTCATTTCATTATCAAAAAAAATAATGACAGTATAGAATCTCTAATACAATTCGTTAGGTCGGTCTCCAATATTAATCGAAAAACAACTCATCAATACTAAAAATTATCTTCCATATAATCAAAAGAATGATTGATAATTTGTTGACTTTGATTATATTATATTTAAGATAGTGATCTAGCCAACTAAATTAAAAGAATCAAAGCCGTTAGAAGACAAATGTGTAAAAAAAAAAAAAAAAAAATCCAATCACGAATTCCCCAAATAATATATAGATAGATGAAAGTTTTCAATTGATTTATACGAGTGATTGCGAATAAATTAATTGTGTGCGACTGAAACATGACAAAAAGTACCATTTGGATTAGATTAAAACAACACATATGCCTCGGTTTCTCCCATCACCTCCATATAATGATTCTGCCAGAACTAACTAGCTAGCATATGCATGAATATGTCTCTTAACATTAATATGAAAAATATATAGGATTCATATATGCATACATTTCGTTTTTGGTAGAGAGAAATGTTATTTGGGAGAGATCTTCTCAAAGTGGATTATTCATATACCCCGTCCATTACAACGATCCCAACTCAAAGTCATGACTTTTTACGCAAGGGACGGACTTACCATCCCGTCAAACTCTCGATCGGGTCGTGAATTCACACGTAAATTACGCATATATTAATGTCACATATTGTATATGGTAATAACTTACTCCAACTTTTAATTTATGAGGTCGAACATTTGAATTCTTTCACTTCTTACTAAAAGAAAATTAACATAATAAAAATGCATATATGTTAACATTCTAATCACAAATTCTTCGAGAATCATGTATAGAATTCGAGTCTCTTATCGTCCAATTAGGTTATTATTATATATTGAAATGACACACACACTTATATATAAAATCATTCAACGGTTAATATATGTCAATTTAATTTAAGACACAAATTTTCATCTAACGTTTATAGGACTTTTATGCAGCAATTTGTTACAAATTTTCATTATTATGTGGAATTGCTTAGAACGGGAAAAATAGAGAGTTGAGAGAGTCCAAGGGGGATCTATCACGTGGGAAGTGAAAAGGGCATTTTCCTATGCTTTTCTAGATTAAGTTTCGATTTGAAATCTATTTTATTAGTACTTCACATGATGATATTGTAAAGATCTTGTCCTCTCCTAGACATTTCTTCCAACAAAACAAAAGGAGTTGCAGAGTTTATGTAAACTCTAGGCCCGACACCAATATTCATCAAGAACTCTTGCCCATGTGAGTTCCTTTATAGTTATATTTTTATTTTTGGAGAGTTTCTCTCATAGCCCTTGAAACAACGAACTGTTGGCAGTTCTTTGTTTTTTTTAGCTGTCATATCTATATAAAAATCTGTCTGTTATGCATATTTTTTCAATTTAATATAATTTTGACCAGATGATCTAACGGTAAAAAAATAAGACAATTGATAAAGCGAACTACCGCAAAAACTCTCTAATTTTTTATTTTTAGTTTATTTATTTATTTATTTATTTTGCGTTTTATATTACCCCATTAAGCGTTCCAACTTCAAAGATTCAGCGAGAGCTTATTTAAACTATGGATCATGAGGGTTATTAAAGAGAAGTTTTTGGTCGATCCATAGATCACAAATTAGATGTGATATTAGATCTTGTGAAGTTCCAAGCATTTTTGAATTACTAATAAAGCTAAGACTGTAACTGTTACTATTGATAAAATATTTGGAGCAGAGAAAGTGAACAACCATAAAAATAAGAATACGGTCAAAAACCCATAAGGAAAAGAGATCACTGTGGTATTAAGAAATAAAAACGAGCCTCTAGAATTTTCTAAACTTTCTCTCCAATTCAGCTCTTAAAAGTGTGAATCAACCTAAATTAATTCTTAAAAAATCACCCCCTTTATATTGGAATTCAATTAGGAAAACGCATTAGAAACTAAAAGAGAATTATAAAGTATGTAAGCTCACATAACTCAATACTTATCCGAATAAATTAGAGACAACTAAAAGATGAACTCGAGATATTTCCAAACATGTCTCTTTTTAAGCCACAATTTTGCTAAATAACTCTGATTTTACTAAACTAATGCCTTGTTCATTTCACCGATTCGAGTTTTCAGTTTTAGGTTTCTACAGTAAAAAGTTCTCAGAAAATGTCACATCTAACTTTTTCTGCTACAGTAAAAAGCTCTTAGAAAATGTCACATCTCAGTTCGAATTGAAAACTTGAATCCGCGAAGTGAACGAGGCCTAAGAGTATGTTATAGCTAAAAACAGGTAAATCACTGATTGTCACTGTTCATCTTCTTGTGCAAAAAGCTGATGAAAGGTGAGGGTCGATCATTTTAGATGAACCTAAAATCAAATTAACTCTAAACAGTTTTTTTTTTTTTTTTTTGCCCCCCTTAAATTCTTAGGTAGGACGAGTTTTCAATAATTATGCGTAACTATTGATGGGTAAATATTCAAATAACTAGTTTCATTAATTATCATAAATTTTTTTTGATCAACTATCTAATTTATTACAACCGTCAGATTAATATTTTAAGACTAAAATAACGATATCTATTGATGGATATATATTCAAATAATCATTAAAACTACACCATTCTTTGGTAAATATTGGAAAAAGTTAAATTAACAAATGAAATAACTGATTTAACTAAATCAACCGAGAAAATTAGCCGAAACCACTCGTATTCAAACCACAAAAAATTGACTCAGCCGAACATGTTCGAGCCCTTAGCTTTGGATAAGTCATTAACATGACGGATGGACATATTTATTAGGATTAATGTAACACCATGTTTGGCACTACCTAAGGTTTAATCATTTGATAAATGTGATTTATAAATTTTACTAGTGTATTATTGAATGTGATTTTAACTTTTAGGAATATATATATATATATATATAAAAGTTGAATCACATCAATAAAATTTATTTTGGAGTGTCCCCCCGAAGGGTCATCTTTTTGGCCCTACGGGTATGTCAAGTTTTAAAAAGCGTCCAATTTAAATTTCATTGCTGAAAAAGTTATGTCGTTTTTTAACAGTGAGTCGTTTAGGCCGCACGTATAGAATTATAGCCTGTTGCTTAGCAAATTAATTGCGGGTCCCACACGTTTGAACACCAATTCTTTTTGGTTCCCTTCTTTATCTTTCTGTTGATAAATAAATTTACAAAGGATCAAAGGTTGAGATCACAAAATGGTTTGCGTTTTGAAATGTGTATCCAAAAATAATAAATATGTATGCTAGGAACATTTGCAGTAATCTTTCAAGTCACAACATGCAAATTTTGGCCTGGTTCGTTTCATCTATTTGAATTTTTAGTTTAAAATTCTTACAGTTAAAAATTCTCAAAAAAATGTCAAATCTAACTTTTTTATTACAATTTAAAGCTCTTAAAAAATGTCACATCTCAGCTCGAATTAAAAAGTCGAATCCGCGAAGGGAACGAAATCTACTAACTTTGGGACATGACCCCAATATCAACTTTATAGGTTCATTCTCTCGTGTGGAAAGGATTCCTCTGTGAAGTTATGGGAAGTTGGAATTGGCAGATTGGTCAAGCAATACCCGGGAGCTACACAAACACAGTCGCGTTGTCAGGTACAAAAACAACCTTGTGTTGAGGACTTGTGCCCTATTTTTTTTTTTTTTTGTTCTGTTTTTTTTTTTGCCCTTTTTTTTTTTTTTTTTTTTTTTTTTTTTTTTTTTTTTTTTTTTTTTCCCGGCTTGTTTTCCTTGGCTATTTGGAAGGCGGAAGCGCTCTGTTCTTTCTGGGCAAGAAAATATGATCAAGAATTTTCGCGGGAAGTGGTGTGCAATTAAATTGTTCTTGGGAAATTTTGGCATAGGATTTAGGAGTAAGAGCTTTTGACAATCTCACCACATTGTTGTCTATAATCTGCTTTCAAGTTAGAAACAGTAAAGTTACTTTTCCTGCACGAATTTGGCCACACAGTTCTTATATCACATTGTTGGCTATTTTCATGTACTTTTCCTTTTGGACACTCGGTTCTTATTCAAGCCATTAAGTGACGATCAGGCAGACAAATCAAAAGTACTTTCCTGTAGGAATTTAAGCAACTGAGGATGAGAATTTTATGATCTTAAATTCTTAATAGATATTTCTTAAATTTTAGAAATTTCTTCTTGACATTTCTTAATAGATATTCCCAAAGAGAAGCTTCAAAATCCGTTGGCTCTCTTTTTCTTTCTTTTCTTGGAACGACTCTAGGTTTATTAGGTTCATACTTTTTTATTTGCAGGCTGTTTTCAATCATACTGAAGACTTTGTACTATGCATAGATGGGCTAAACAACGAGGTTTGTTAAGCTTCTTGTTCTAAGTTCTGATCCAACTGTCAATGGCAATGTTTAAATTTGCAACTGACTGTCGTTTGTACTAAGCAGATTGTTGTGTGGGACGCTTTGACGGCAGAGAAGGTTGCAAGGTGGCCTTCCAACCATGCCGGTGCTCCTCGTTGGCTCGACCGCTCACCAATGGAGGCAGCATTTGTTTCCTGTGGAACCGACAAGTCAATCCGTTATTGGAAGGAAGCACTCAATCTGCAGATAATAGCTTTTCTTAGTTCATCTTTTGATTTAGGATTTAACGATATCTTATGCCTGTAACCTTTCAAAATTTCTGAGGTTTTTTCTCTTCATCCATTTTTTGTTTTGCTGTTATACATTTAAATTATCGTCAATTTTTGAGAACTTATGACACTATGGAGAATATATGCAGAAAATATAAAACAATGTAATAAATAGTAAATTTTAAAACTATTTGAAGTAAAATATAACCGCGGCATGCTTTTCGCCCAAGTAATTCTCAACTCCCAATAATATATTCGATAAAGGTCACGCCTCTCAGGCTAACACGCACCGTCCTCAAAAGGGTAAAGGCATCATATTCCAAACTTGAAAAGAAGACAAGTTACGCTTACGGGTTGCCATTACTTAATGAAAGTTTCAACAAAATTTTTGCTATTGAAATGGCCATTTTTCTTGCCTGCTTTAGTAAAACCTCCAATGAGCACATCGATAATTCAAATCCTACTTATACTTCTTTGGGATTTCTTTTCCTTTTAATTTTTTTTTTCTTTTCATTATCCAAGTTTTACTACTTCTAACATGTTTCATGTTTGAATGCGAAGCATAGAACTTCACCCCCCGGCGAATTGAAAAGCATTTTTTTTTTTTTTTTTTTTTTTTTTTCCCGGCTTGTTTTCCTTGGCTATTTGGAAGGCGGAAGCGCTCTGTTCTTTCTGGGCAAGAAAATATGATCAAGAATTTTCGCGGGAAGTGGTGTGCAATTAAATTGTTCTTGGGAAATTTTGGCATAGGATTTAGGAGTAAGAGCTTTTGACAATCTCACCACATTGTTGTCTATAATCTGCTTTCAAGTTAGAAACAGTAAAGTTACTTTTCCTGCACGAATTTGGCCACACAGTTCTTATATCACATTGTTGGCTACTTTCATGTACTTTTCCTTTTGGACACTCGGTTCTTATTCAAGCCATTAAGTGACGATCAGGCAGACAAATCAAAAGTACTTTCCTGTAGGAATTTAAGCAACTGAGGATGAGAATTTTATGATCTTAAATTCTTAATAGATATTTCTTAAATTTTAGAAATTTCTTCTTGACATTTCTTAATAGATATTCCCAAAAAGAAGCTTCAAAATCCGTTTAGCTCTCTTTTTCTTTCTTTTCTTGGAACGACTCTGTAGGTTTATTAGGTTCATACTTTTTTATTTGCAGGCTGTTTTCAATCATACTGAAGACTTTGTACTATGCATAGATGGGCTAAACAACGAGGTTTGTTAAGCTTCTTGTTCTAAGTTCTGATCCAACTGTCAATGGCAATGTTTAAATTTGCAACTGACTGTCGTTTGTACTAAGCAGATTGTTGTGTGGGACGCTTTGACGGCAGAGAAGGTTGCAAGGTGGCCTTCCAACCATGCCGGTGCTCCTCGTTGGCTCGACCGCTCACCAATGGAGGCAGCATTTGTTTCCTGTGGAACCGACAAGTCAATCCGTTATTGGAAGGAAGCACTCAATCTGCAGATAATAGCTTTTCTTAGTTCATCTTTTGATTTAGGATTTAACGATATCTTATGCCTGTAACCTTTCAAAATTTCTGAGGTTTTTTCTCTTCATCCATTTTTTGTTTTGCTGTTATACATTTAAATTATCGTCAATTTTTGAGAACTTATGACACTATGGAGAATATATGCAGAAAATATAAAACAATGTAATAAATAGTAAATTTTAAAACTATTTGAAGTAAAATATAACCGCGGCATGCTTTTCGCCCAAGTAATTCTCAACTCCCAATAATATATTCGATAAAGGTCACGCCTCTCAGGCTAACACGCACCGTCCTCAAAAGGGTAAAGGCATCATATTCCAAACTTGAAAAGAAGACAAGTTACGCTTACGGGTTGCCATTACTTAATGAAAGTTTCAACAAAATTTTTGCTATTGAAATGGCCATTTTTCTTGCCTGCTTTAGTAAAACCTCCAATGAGCACATCGATAATTCAAATCCTACTTATACTTCTTTGGGATTTCTTTTCCTTTTAATTTTTTTTTTCTTTTCATTATCCAAGTTTTACTACTTCTAACATGTTTCATGTTTGAATGCGAAGCATAGAACTTCACCCCCCGGCGAATTGAAAAGCATGTTTGTACAGCGATAAGGGGAAAAAAAGTCAATATGAAAATAAACAGATTAGATCATAATTTGAAATTCACTATACTATACATTTCATGAAAAAAGGAGTTGAACTGCTGTAGATTAAGGGCATATTTACATGTCATCAGCGGAAAAATGAGTGTTTCCCTTCTATTCCATTCATGTGTATACTCACTAAAATACAATCATATTTGCAATCCCTAATATTTAAGCATTCATTTGAACTATTTCACATAAAAAAAAAGTATGCACTTGCATCAAATATTTTGTTCCTCTCTATTCCTCTTCCCTTTTAAACCTTTTGCCTTTCTGATTGGAATATCCATTACAAATAGGTAAACAAAAGTGGTGATGATATTGCACAATTCTGAAATCCTAGAAGCCATGAATTAGAGCAGTTCAAAAGTATAGCTAATAGAAATGGAGATTGTATCTCCTTGTATCTCCTCATAACCATGTATTATCACAAATTCACAATGCCCACTTCATTATTAGAGGCAAATCCCACCTAATTGCATTCGTTAGTACTTAAGAGAAATGCTAACATCACTTTTTATGTCACTCACTCTTGCTGCATTCACTGTCCGACGTTTACGTGTCAAACAGTGAATGCAGAGTCACAAAGAGTGACATAAATTGTGTTGCTATAGTTAATAGCCCTTTTAGATCATAAGCTAAACCCCCAAAAGGGTACTAAGTTGAACAAAATGCAAGCTTAAAAAGAGAGAAATCAACTTCAACACTAATCACTAATCACAAAGTTCCTTTGCTCTAAGAATTAATGTACCAGCTGAGTGTCAAAATCCTAAACAAAAAGATCACTTTATTTTCTTTGGTTTCTCTGTTGGACTTGGTGAAGTAATTTTACTTCTAATTACTAATAACCAATACTAGAAAACAAGAAGAAACACATAAAGGTTACATATCATCAAAAAACAAGTTGATCAAAATTCAATTGAAGTCAAAACTTCAATAAATAACCCAATCATACCCTTTCACTCGGATCAATATGCTCGGCGCGTCATTTTCTTCGGTTTCTTCACGAAACTCAATCGAATCTGCTTGAGGCGCCTCCTCTTCCTGGCCATCTTCTCCGGCAGCGTCTCCCTCTTCTTCTCCTTCTTCACAGCCTTAACTTTCTTCTTCAAGTACCTAGGGTCCACGGGATACTCCTTTTGCGTCACCGGAACGCCTCGTTTCTTAGCCCCATTGAAAAGGGCATTGGCCTTATCAACTCGGTTATGAGCACACAACTTTTCCATCAAAAGCTCGTAAGTCTTGACCCCCGGCTCACACCCGTCTTTCTTCATCTTCTGGAAAACGCTCAGCGCGTGATCGATCCTCTCGATCCCGCACAAGATCTTCAAGAAGCCATAATAAGCCTTCTTATCAAGCTTATCGCCATAACCCGCGGATTTCATCCTATCAATCATTTCATCGCCTTCTCCAACCCTCGCCGCCTGGTACAAACTCCTGATCAAAACAAGAAACGTTTCCTCATTCGGATAACATCCCCACTCTCCCATTCTCTCAAACACCTTCAAGGCTTCCTCAGTCTTCCTAATCTTACACAAATTGTTGATCAACACATTGAAAGTCTCCACATTTCTCGGAACTCCATAAGTATCCATGTCCACCAACACATTCTCGGCCTCCGATTGTAGCCGAAAAGGATCCTTTTTCCGGCAGAGCTTACATACGCAATCGAGAATCGCGTTGAACGCCATTGTTCCGAGCTCGAATCCTCCTCTGTACATCTCTCCGGCCAATCGATTCGCTTCATCAAGCTTCCCATCGACGCACCATCCTATGATCAGCAAATCACAAATTCTCTCGCCGGGAAAAATCTCGTTCGCCAAGCTCTTCACCATCTTCTCCGCGTAGCTCGCGAAGCCGTTCTCGCAGAGCTTCTCGACGACGACAGTGCGC